TCTTCACCTTGGACAAGTCGGCGCCTTACTACTCATTCAGCGGCCGGCGCAAACGACAATGTCGCGTACACGAGAGCACGTGGTCGTCTGCCTGATGGGTGAACCGAGCAACCGCAGCAGCAATCGCCGACGAAACGCCCGTATCGCAGTCGATGGCACCGAGGAGGCGACCCCTCCGGCGCCGTCAACATCTCCTCCGTCGCCGCCGCCTCCTGCAGAAGTTCCTCCCCCGGCGCCAGCAACCGCAGAAGTTACGCCGGCACCGGTTCCGACCGGGGAGGAGTCAAGACCGCCGCCGCCGCCAAATTCGGCTACTTTGAAGGCTGTGGGCATCATGAGCTCCGTCGGAGCCCTCTTCGGATCACTCATCTTTGCTTTTTGAGGTGTGTTTGCGTGAGATTATTTGTTTTGCGTGTGGAGTTGTGGGAATAAGCAATGCGTGGTCCGAGAGTTCGATTTGATTTTAATTCGTATACATATGTTTTTTTTTTTTTTCCTTTTTCTCTTTCTATATTTGATTTGTTTTGGCCTTGTGCGTTATCGAGCTTGTAAACAAACAGCCAAATTTGGGCAATGAATAAAGGAACAGAGAGGGGTTTGTTATGAAATGAACCTTACACATGAAATATTTTACCTGCAGATGTAAATTACCAGTCTTTAGGAACCTTTCTCCGAACTCATTTAGATCTGTAGACAGCAACATGAGCTTTGACAAGAGTAAGATGGCAATTTATGTTTACAGATTGCGTACCTGCTAGAGTAAAAGCATAGCAATTTTTCAGGCAGCTGAATACAAAAATATAATAGCATTTATGAAGTCAACACAGGTTTAATATTTTTCAACATCCATTTTACTTGTCTTCTATCGTTTAAAAATCTTCGAAAAGCCAGTTCAAACACACGCATACACAGAAGAGAAAAGAGAGAGGTCAGAAAGCGTCCACATATTATAGCCAAATATTATAAAAGCTTTGAGATGCTTCTCTTGCTTATCAATGAAACTAAACATATAATAATACCATTGCCCCCCCAAAAAAAAATGAATTCTAATTACATTAGTATGCGGTCAATTCATAGAAGCTTGTCTATAACAAAAATTCTCTCGGATCTCTTCCCTCAAATATGTTTTCCTAGTTCAACCTTCTTCACAAGCCGCATTGTGTTGTGTAGTATCGAATCAACTATGCCGGCAACCTGAAATACGTCCAAAACAAGATCGAAGTCAAAAAAACCAGTAGGAGGAGTTAGATCTGCAGCTCAGTAACATAATCCCATTACTCTGACATGCCTGAAAAAATGATGGTGGTCATGTATATTTTAAATCGACATCAAAATGAAATAAAATATACATGCAGCATGTTTAGCGATCTTAAACCACAAAAAATCTTCTAAAACATTCAACATGCAATTCAAGGCTTATTCAAAGTAAACTGCTATGGATGCATGCAAAAAAGAAATCCAAACTATTGGGACCATTCTTTTGTCTTCCGATACACTTTGATGTCATAATTTAAAACTTTTGTTTGGTCACTCTAACTAGGTCATTTAATATAATGCACAAATCTTTCCCAGAAATGAAGAAGGTACTTTAGCAAGTCAATCAAGTACAAACCGTGAAAACTCCTCCAATGATAGCACAGACATTTGTGATGAAATGGGAAAAAGACTTCGGAACTTCAGACACTAAGACCTGATATTCATAAAAATAAGGGGTGAGAAACTATATAACACTTCTTTTCTCAAAAAACCATAGAATACTTCTTGGAAGCACAGGTGTTTATTACGAACCTGCATGGGAGAAGGCTCAAAATGAAACTTGGCCACAGGAACATCCAGGCTGTGCACTAAACTGCTATGGGCAGTATATTCATAGTCCTCAAGGAGCTTAAATTCTTGGTAACGTTTTTGTGATACCAACTCGGTTTTCACAACCTGAAGGTAATGCTCTATCTGCATATCAAAAAAAAAAGGGTTCTCAAACAATCCCACAATTATACAATTAAAAACTGTTTTATGCTCTTTTTTATAATTTGCAGTGTTTCCAAAAAAAATAACAGCATTTCTTAACAAACATGGAAGCTACAATTTGCAAAAGACAGTTGCAATTAAAAACTGTAAAAATAACAGCATTTCTTAACAAACATGGAAGCTACAATTTGCAAAAGACAGTTGCAATTAAAAACTGTTTATGTTTAGTACACTATTCTTGTTATTGGAAGCTACAATTTGCAAAAGACAGTTGCAATTAAAAACTGTTTATGTTTAGTACACTATTCTTGTTACTAACAAGCAGATAAGGAAAACTACTCCTGACTTCCACCAGGCTGCTTGGTCCATAGATAATGGTAAAGCAACAATTTGCAAAAGACAGTTGCAACTAGAACGGTTTACTTTTGCCGCTACTACAGCAAATGAGTAATCTTTACAAAAGATGACTTGCAGTTCTCGTGGACGCAAGTTGAAATGAGTAATCTTTACAAAAGATGACTTGCAGTTCTCGTGGACGCAAGTTGTTTTCACAAATCTGACCCATTTTTACAACTGTTTTTGGAAATGACTTGCAGTTCTCGTGGACGCAAGTTGTTTTCACAAATCTGACCCATTTTTACAACTGTTTTTGGAGAAGTTTATAGTCACAGTGAAACAAACGACTGCAATTCTAAGGGAAACTGTTTTTTTCTCCCCCTGAAATTGCAATCGCAGTTGACACTTATGTGTACCAAACAGCTAAACTATCACTGCTAAGCCACACAGGATTTAACCAATATATACTGTCGAACATAAGGAGATTGTTCCTTAAATAATTTTACGTAAGCTGAACTGTTTATTTTTTTAACGAAGAATAAGTGATTTAGCACTATTACATACCCACAAAATCTCAAATCACGCCACAAGTTTCAAGGGTATTTATATAAGGTATGTATTAAGCAGTAGTTCTTTTATAATAAATAGTAGATAGTTATTTGATGTTTCAGCAAGAACATGTAGCTTTCAGTAACCTGACCAACCTTATTGGCTTGACGTCCAGACATGAGCTTTTGAATACAAATATATTATGCAATTTTTTCTCAAAAGGATAAAAAGAACACCAACTACAATGCAGAAGTTCCATTTGTCAACAAAAACCAAGGAGATGATATTAAAAAGAGACCCCTAAGTTTTCGTACAGTAAAACATTATAATTTAGGATGTGTCAACTGGAGCGTAAAGATAACATAATCAGATCTAGCTTACCGTAACATTAGCATTAGTCTCATCACGATTGATAATGTATGATCGACCTGTCAAACGGTCATGGCTTGCACCAAGATAAGGTGTTAGCCGCTTTAGTTCTGTCCAAGCCTTCGATGAAAGTCTTTTTCCAAACGAAAAATGAGAGATAACATGTGAAACATTTATTAGAGATGCATCAAAAGAATGTGCCCCTGAATGAGCTGATACGACAAGGTTGCCTGGAACCTGCATAACAAAAGAGTTCGAATAAGGCACCATAACTTGTTAAAACTAGGTGACAAGATCATGCAACCAATAACAAACTATAGATACCTCATACCTGTATGGTTCAATTGAAATTTTAACATGTATTTCAAGTGTTATGTTCATAACATCCCAAAGGTATCAATAACAAAGTGATGTTACCACTTGCCAGGCAGCCATAAAAAATAGTAGCATAACAAAGACAGGATAAAGTTTGATCGCTATCGTATTATATTTACTTACAAAGGTCTCTGTTGTCTTATAGCAACATAAGAAACTAAACAAGGAGGGATTCTGGTTATTCACAAGTATATGGTATTTTGGCCTAAAATGTAAGACCTGAGCAATGAACTGCTTTCCAATCCCATGCATGGAAATTGTACTCCAAGTAATATACTGGACTCAATAAAAAAAATTCCAATTAAAATATAACAAAAAGGAAAAGCATAGTTACCTTCTTAACACGCACAAAACCCTCAATTCTGCACCCACTGGTCAATGGTGCAGGGCGTTTTGATGCATCACCAGGTTTATTAGATTTATCCTCCAATGCCAGTGTGTGAGTCTCTTCAGGAATGGATGCAACCAAAGTCTCCATTGCCTTTTCAAATTAAAAACATGTCTAATGTTTAACAGATATCAAATGTAGGGATTAATTCATCATCACTTATGAACTACTATGCTGTTAATTAAGATTAAACTGTAGCATACCGCAACTAAGCTTTCCGTATCACGCTCACCATAATAGGATTCATGCTCATGGTGCCCATGGTTGTCCCTGCATTAAATGACATGTAGTGGAACTTCAGATACAAAGTGACAGAAAGCTAGTTAGAGAAATGAGGTCACATAGCCTGAAATGTTATCAATAGGGCTATCTACAGGGCTACGATTTCACTAACAATTTGAAGTTTCAAGAACTAACAGTAACTTTAGTCCATATCAGGCTTATTATTTCTGAACGTTGAAATTTTCTTTGTCAAATAACAGTTTAGAAATGATTACCAGATATATTGCTGAATAACAAAATGTTTTCCGTTATTGGCTGGGGGACACATATGCCAGGCAGCAAAGAAGCTGGTAACATTCAAGTTGGTTTGTTGAAACCTAATGCCATAATTTACCTTATGCAGTGGATTTGCTGATTAATCTAATTGATAAGAACTAAGGTCTACATATGCAACAAGAACAGAGTCAACATATGATAAAGTTAGTCCACATATGCAATAAGGACAGAGTCGACAGACAATAAGGTTACCTAACATCACAGGATAAGGTTACATCCCTAAATCCTTTTGATTCCAAGTACTTTGCCTTGAGCTTTTCTGAAGTGCTTCAGAGTATAGTGTTGTACGACTAAAGGTTTTAAAGGAATAAAACTTATAGTGAAATAATTCCTAAAGAAAATGAGATATTAGGTTTCATAGCTCAAAGGAATAAACCCAGTAGCCAACAACATTAAAAGCAATTTACAGACAAAGTAATCTTATCTGGAAGCATTTTAGGCTTGATGCCTAATGGGCATTAGGATGCTATATGATGGGATAAAGAAAGATGAATATTGAGAATATCTTGAACAAAGTTGCTATAAGAATTATGTGGTTCTTACCTAACATCATTGCCCTTGCGAAAAATGCGAATAGAAGGATAACCCTGGATATGATGCCTGCACAAAATTTTTATCAGCCAGTTTGCTCAAGCCTCATAAGAGAAGGTGATAGCAAGAGCCAAAAGTTCAAAGCAAGGTGCAATAACAAGTATGCATGTCCTTTTTTAGATCCTAGTGGATAGCTTGGCAATCAGTTGATGTGAGACCACTCCAAGGACAATATAATTGATTGAGCAACAGTTGGAAGTTCATGTTACCAAATACTAAAAGATCCATAGAACATCTTGTTATCATGTATTTTACATGAATACATATTAAAGGATGACATGAAAAGTACCTCCGGCACAAATCACTATCTTGAGTACAATCGACCTTCCCCAGGAGAATCCGTCCATCCATTTCAGGATCATATCTGGAAAAATAAAAAATAAAGTACAGAAGAGAACAATGCTCCCAAATGAATTACTCAAATGACATGCCAACTAAAATAAAGGATGGAAGAAAGGACGAAAAAAGAATAGATAAGTCTACCTCTCTCTCATTGTCTTAGCTGTCCTCTCCCAGGATGGTTTCTGAAACAATTGATGGAAGTCACTTAGGTACAAGCTAAAATGCAAATAAGATTTTGTGTAGACATGACTTCAGTTGAATGTTTATGCAAATATGTAGTAGGAAGTCTCATACATAGTGTGACATAAATTGTGGGAATTAAGCATAATTATGACCAGGCAAGGCATGAAAGTCAAGGAGCAAAGAACTTGCTAATTGAAGTGTCTTTCTGTAAGCATTCTAAAGATGTCACCATCAATTTTACACTATAAAATAACATCATCATGCAAAATGACTGAGAAGATGGACATACAATGTTCTGATTAACGCCTGATTAACGCCTAATAACCGCTTTTGAGAATCATGAAACAGTCTGAGAAGATGGACATACAATGTTCTGATTAACGCCTAATAACCGCTTTTGAGAATCATGAAACAGTCATCTTTTGTTTTTTTTCCAGGAGAAAACATTTCTTTGCAACCAGCAAAAAATTCTTGGGAAAACTTTGAAACACGCACCCAGAGTATGCCAAGTGATGCACAAGATTCCATCAAGCTTGATAATATAGATATATGCTAAAATATTAATCTATCATACAATCTTATGACTTGGCAAAAAGAAAGCACTGATTTGTTCTTCAGCTTATGTCATGCTTTTGTGCAGAGGTCGATATTTGGATAGTAGTTCTAAAGTCTAGTTTTTGATGTGTAATGAAAATAAATAAATTTCTTAAACATTTCATGTGATGAAAATAGATTAAAAGAAGTGCACGACATGTGTATAAGGTTAAGAAGTATCTGAAAAGCATCCTAAATATCTTGGTCACAGAGTTAAAGGACACCTATGAGAATTATCCTACATGTGAATAAGATTAAGAAGTATCTGAAAAGCGTCCTAAATATCTTGGTCACAGAGTTAAGGACACCTATGAGAATTATCCTACATGCCTACAAGGAGTGTTCAAGAAAGTTTGAAAGGGGTATGGTTTCAGACTAGAAGTATGCATATCCAGTCAGAAAGGACTGCAGCTTGAAGGGACTGCAGCTTAGAAGTTCGTGAATCACATTGGGTGCTAAATTGAAAACATGGATACTTTTGAGTTGCACTAAATACAGACAGCTTAGTTTACTAGTACTGTAATCTATTGACAAATGATTTTATATCCTCAACACAAGCCTCTTATATTATCCCATAATATAAACATAAAAACGTGGAAGTATTACCAAGCGGTTGCTCCAATAACACCAGGGTGCAAAAAAATTGACAACCAAAATAGCATGCCTGCAAAGTCGATGCACATAAGGTAAATATAGTATTCATCAATAACCAACCTTTATAAATGGTTGTTACATTTATTAAATCTGAAAGTGAGCTGGACAAGAATTTCGAGGCTCCTAAATACCATGGCTATCATCACCTAGTAAACTAACAAGAATAGTAACTAAAAACTTAACAAGTACGAAAGTGATGAATAAAATACTTTGGTAACTTTTATGCAGATTGCATTATTAAAACGTAAGTAATTTTAAAATGCAAAGATCTAGTTATACCACCACATGCATAAGCAATTATATCAGATAGCAAGGGACGCACACAGGCTATGAAGCACGGACACGCATAACATGAAGCCGTGTCGTGTCCGTGTCGGACACACGTGTCGAACACACGTATCCTATGTATTTTTTAGGATTTGCCTCGTGTCGGCGTGTCGAATGACCGTGTCGGATCCGTGTCCGTGCTACATAGCACACAGGTAGAGAGATGAATGTTACAAGTTTACAAAGGTGTCTCTAGAGGTTAACAAGGGACCCGTCCTATACTTCTTTGACACGACCCTGGAGCTTAGGTGTGGGTTTCATGTAAGAGGGAAAGGTTGCTTCAGTTTCTCACAGAAGAAAAATAAACCTCCATTTGATGTTTACAAATAATATCTCAACATGGCTGTTATGAAGGAACCACCAAGTCACCGACAAAAAAAGAGTACAAATACTAATTTTTCAATATCGACACTTCGAAATGCCAAACTTACTTGTGTGAGTAATTCTCAAAGTTGCTAGAAGTAAGTGAAACAGATTCATCAGTGTGTTCCTCTTCAATCTCATCACCATGATTATTGACCATGGGAATTGGACCAGAATGAAACTCAGATCCAGTTGGTCTTAAATTGGGATCTATGGAGAACTTGCGGACAGTTTTTGTTATGTTCAGCCTGTTCTGCAAAATGGAAAGTGGATCTTATCAACAGCCACAAAAGAATATCAGTCTACAAAACAATCTAGCATATGTAATTCTAGAATTAGAAGGATCGCTCTACTTTTACATGTGAAAAAAGCCAATTTCACATAACAATAAAACCAAGGATAAAATATCCCTGACAATTTAACTCCATTTCAGAAATCAACCTGCCAATCACTGGCAGATCCTAGAAGATAAATGGAAGTGTTTCCTGCACATATTAACTATACAACATTTGTTGGAACTGAGTAAGAATCTTATGTTTTACAAAATTCATTCTGCCATGTCGTAAAAATGACCCAGACTTTTCATTTTGTCATTAAGCAATAGTGTGACATCATAAAATGGAATGATGAGAACCAAAGAAAATGTAGAATTCAAGTCATGAAAACATTTTTCTAGGTATCTCCCATTCGATGCTAATAAGCTCGTAAAGAAAATTAACAATTTATTATGTTGTCAAATACTAATAGCTATTCAATCTTGACTTTTAACTCGCAGCCCTTTTCATTCTTTGCAAACTATATCAATTAAATACTTGTAAATTGATCAACCACAAACAGGGCAACAATCTATTTATAATCTAGTTTTTGGAAACGACCAAAACATTATATCAAATATCTCCATCACCAAAAGCATAATCAGTTAGTAACGAAACAGAAGAAAAAAAATAAGCTCAGAAGGTACAAATTCTTTTTTAATTTCAAAAGGTCCAAATTCCCTTTTTTTTCATTTATGCATGCATGCACATTTAGAAAGAACATTATATAGGTAAGCAAGAACCCACAAATGCAGCAAAGTAATATCACAGTAATAGAAAGCAAGAGTCAAGTGCACTAATCCTGCCAGGCATTATGACTAACAAATACAAAGGAAACTGTTTGCACAAGCATGAGGTTATAAACGAGGGAAAAACTTACTGTTCCCAATATATCGCTCACGTCAACTGATGCAAACTCACAGGACAGTGCAGGAAAACTACAATAACAAATTCAAGGAGTATCAGACCACTGAAATAGTAAGGCTTCATATTTTCTGATTGTTAGAACATATATAAAAAGTATAAACATCAATATTTATGAGCTAAACATACGAGGCAAAATCTCTTGATAATTAGACCAATGGTAGAGCTGCAGATAAGACGGTATCATGTTTCTAAAACATGGCATTCAGATTTTAATTTTCATAAGCAGTAACTGCAAGTCACATTGTAGACACAGATATACGCCTCATGTACTCCTGAATCACCAAATTTCACAATGATTCAAAAGATTCATAGTGACACTTCTGACATCAGATAGCATTTCACTTTCAGGTTTAATAGCCTCAAAAATTTCACCAAGCACAGTTTGCGTATGAATTATGCGGGATGCAACAATATACAGAACGATGCATGTCCATTTTTTTTAATCACTGAAGTTATAAAATGAGAGAATTTTCCATATATCGCATAATTTCTTGTGACAAAATATGAATCGAACAATAAACATTCCTTTTCAGATGGTCAAAAGAGTTATTGCTCAAACTATTAGTTATGGAAAAATATTAACTCTCTTCTCTTCTCTTTTTTTTTTAAGAATAAGTGTTTTACATGTCTTCTTTCTGTTCAGATACATCGATGTATGGTTACTACTTTTGTGTTTACTCCACTTATGTAATGAGAGTGTGCATCTGTATACATATGAGTGTATGTGCGTGCATGCGGGAGAATTTATGCATGTGTGCATGTATGAGTAAACACACACATGCAAACGCCCGCACGTGCGCCACACAGATAGGAGAGATGATGATGATGATGATTAGGAGGATGATGATGATTAAAATTCCTACTCAGATGTCCTATGCATCTTTTAATTATACAGTCACCTTCCTGAAGTGTTTACATCGAGACTTAAAGGCATGTCAAACTGTCAAAGTAAACGGAAATATTGTCTTTGCTGCAGTTGGTTTTTGTAATAAACTGAAATGTTGTAGGAGGCAAAAAAATGAAGTATTTCCTTGATCAAACTTCTGGCCCGTGCGTGTGCATGCACAAAAAACTATCAGACAAAAGCAAAATACTTCTCAAAAAGTAAACACCCATAAAGAAGGGAATGATAAAAGCGGCCACTATATGTACAAGAAAATAGTTAAAAAAAATGCTAAGCAAAGACAATATCTAACAATACAAGCTGACAACTCCAAATAGCTATTAACAATATTCAAGAAACAAAGATATAGCTGTTCCTACCTAATGTTAAAATCAATACGCAAGAATTCTGCATCTGTACTTCTATCAACAACTACGGAAGTAGACGTGTTCACCGTCAAGTAATTGTTCAGCTCCTGCGAACCAAGAAAAAGAAATAAATAAATAAGAACCAAAACACAAAACCACCTGTCACCATCCATCTTAAGACCGCAAACAGGAAGACTCACCATTCCAAACAAAAACATCATCGCAAGTGCTGCGATAATAGACAATCCCGCACCCGAGATTGATGCCTCCGTCAAATCTCTAGGTATTTTCCTGCAATTAACAAGTCGAAAAATAAGACCGCCCTCTCCTCGGTACACAAAATCAGCAGCTAGACAACAATGCTTGAACATAAACCTAGAATTAAAAAAAATATCTTCGTTTTCATGATCACACGTCACGAATTGTTAAACCCTATCTCCCTCTTCACAAGTTCTAGGTTCTTGTAGAAGATCGAGGCGGGATATTCCATTTTACTGAACCGAACATCAAAATCCTCAAACTCGCTAATGAGAATATATATTATGTTATAACAGAGTCTGATGTATTCATAATAAATTAATCAAAGTGCAGATCCCGAACGCGCGCGTCAAAGTAAACTGTAACAGCGACAAAATTACAAAAAGTTTCGTTTAAAAGTTAAAAAAACCCTAGGATCTCGAGAGAGCGGAATCGATCAGCTGGTGATGGATTAAGAGGGGGAATTGAGATCTGAGAGGGAAGATTGGATCGAACCTGTAGAAATCGACGGATTTGAGCTTGCTCGAAGTGATCATCGTGGCGACGGATGGAGTGAGATCTCTCTCTCTCTCTCTCTCTCTCTCTCTCTCCCCCCTTCGAAATTGAGAGATTTATGAAATGAAAAGGGAGGATAGATGAGTGAATAATAAGAGAGAGAGAGAGATGCAGTGTTAATACGTTTTTGGAAAGTGAGCGGATTTTATTTATTTATTTTTTTTAAATTCGGTGAGATCTCTTACGTGGGCGCACAAATGTTTATTTTACCATCTATCTATATCTATATCTATTCCTTTATACAAAGAGTAGTGTTAGAGGCACACCCTCTACCACACCTTCAACCACACCCTCCTCTCCCATTTGCTACAGTACCACGGGCCCCACATAGGATTTTAAAATTTTAAAATCCCATGTGGGGCCCGCGGTACTGTAGCAAATGGGAGAAGAGGTGTGGTTGGAGGTGTGGTAGAGGGTGTGTCTCTATCATTTCTTTTATACAAAAGGGAGAACCAGAGAGTCAATGTTCATGCTACAGTAAATGCTACAGCAGATTTACTGTAGCATTATTATTGTAGCTGGTAAATAATTTTAAAAAATATTACTGTAGCACCGGGTATACTGTAGCATTTCAAAATGGTACTGTAGCAGAGCGGGATACTGTAGCATTCCCAAAAAATCAAAAAAAGGAGATGTTAAAAAGACGGGATTACTGTAGCAAAAAAAAAAAAAAAAACCGTGCTTTGCACGGACAGCAGACTAGTACTAGATATGCAAAAAGATCATCCGTGCCCGTATTTACTGTGATGCTAGTTGAGTTGTATGTGCGATGCACAGCGTTGAATATCATGATTATTTAAATTGATAAAAATATAATAAAAATAAATAAATAAAGTTTTTGTGTGATTGATCATCAATTTAATAATCTCTCTCAAATGAAATATTGTCATTGTTTCCTTCAACCGAGACTATGGTCACATGATCTACTATTTGTGAGTTATAAACGCATTGATCTAGTACAATATCTCTATTTTTCAATTCGCAAAGGAATTTTGCAAATGAATTTACTTACGTCCAGACCCGGCCTAAGGGATAGGCGAGAGAGGCCATCGCCCATGGCCCAAAAAATAGGGGCCCCAAAAAATTCGTGAAAAAACACAGCCCCTCACCAAAATGACAAAACGTCGCTCCGCCTTCTCCCTCTTTGTCCCTGAACACAGCACTTCCTCTCCCTCATCAACATCGCTGCTCTCCTCGTCCAATACCAACCTCCTCTCACCGTCATCGCAGCCCTGACACCACATTCGCTTGGGCCGCATTCAGCATCTCTTTCCCGTCGTTCCTCCTTCTATCTTGTCGCCCGTCAACTGGCCTCGGAGCCTCCAATCACCCCGCCGAAGATTAGCCCTCCTCTCCTTCATACAATTGCCCGCTGCCCTTCTTCCTCACCCGACGCACAGCCCTTCTCCAGCCGTCACCCCTGATGCCACATCACCGCCAATCAGCAGCCCTCCCCGTCGTTCCCTCCTCGCCTAGGGCCCTTGGATGCTCAGGACCGGTCCTGAATACGTCTATTAAACTTTAGTTGTGGTTTCACTCTTATTCACATTAACTTTTAGTTATGGTTTCATTTATATTTATATTATCTAATATTCTCATTCAATTTTATAGTTCATTCTCCATATCATAGAAGTAAAAGCTGAAAGCATGAAGAATTATTTTCTTATAAAATTAGAGCAGGGAAATTATGATATATTTTGCCATGTGCTTTAAATATAATTTTTTTCTTTGATACAAGTTCCCTAGCAAATCTTGCCTCAAACAATGAGAATGAAAAATGCTATTATAACTCACTTGCCTATGGCAAGTGTATTGTATATAAGACATATAACTCATTTGGAATAGCCACATCTACTAAATTGATTTTGCTGTTGTGAGAGCAAAATGTTAGAGACTCACATTCAAACTTTTTGGCTCTATAAAAGACACAATAATTTGGAGTGCATAACGTATATATCATAAAGAACATACTGATTCATAAAGATTTTTTCGTAATAATGATATTACTACAACAATATTATTATGAAGTATTAAATCAATTTTATTATACAAGATTATATGAACCTTTTTAATAAATTATAAAGTATATATATGGAAACCTCGATGCCTATGACCAGTAGTCATGCTCCAGAACATAGGTAAACTTTATATTGTAGTTTGCTATTGATAGTATTGTTGGCAATACCATTATGTTTCATCTTTATCTTATTATTCATGCTTTTATGTTGTAAGTTCTCTTTTGATAATCACTCAATTGGCTATATTTAGTTTTCATAATATCAGATGTTAGAATATTCTCTTTTGTTTAAAAAGTATTGACATAATTTTCTTAAAAAACAGATACACATAGTAGCAATAGTATATACTTCAGTTCAACTCAAATATTGGCTCGAAGCCATTTAGAGTGAGGTTCTTTTAACGCTACAACGTTGATATAGTGGTTACACAATCCACAAGTCGAAGAAAATTTTTTTCAAAAGGAAAAGTAATTTAATATGTTAAATTAACAATTAAGTTATAAAATACAAATGGGTAGTACAGATAGCTATAGAAAGTAAGTTATATATTTTCATGAAAATTTCATAGTGAGTGGCCAACTACAATCATCCTAATTTTAGCATAAATAATTACTATTTTAGTTACTAATTTGATACGCGTAACTATGAAAGAAATCTTAAATAAAAAATATGAATTGAGATTGTATTATTCTATAGGTAAATAAATAGACGTTATTAGAGCTCATCTTTATATTAAATTTGAAAGTAATAATTTACATTATTAAGTGCTAAATATTAGTTCATGCGAGAAAGTAAAGTAATCTATGGTCTATATACCTATATAATCAAGCAATCAAACGTATTAAAATTATAATAACCACAGTCAAAATTATATGGTGAGTTCACATTAAATACAATTTATAAAAAATAGTACATTAAAGTCAAAATAGTACATTAGATTGTGTGAAATTTTTTACATATATATATTGTACTCCCTAGGAGTAGTGATGTGCACACTTAACTATGGCCTAATACATCTTAAGGATGACTTACTCTTCAATATCATCATTAATTGACGTAGTCCTGCATTACAATGAAAACACAATGAAAATTTAGAAAACTACAAAAGAAACACTCTCATTAGCTTTAAAAATTATAAAAAAACACCCTAAAATTTTATAATTTATAAATACACAAAACTATTAAACATTACATTGAGATTAAGGAATAACAAAAAATCATTAAAAAATTTTAAACTATGGAGGGGTAATTTGTAACGTACTAAACTTTAAGGGTGTTTTTTTATAAATTTCAAATTTAATAGATTTTTAATTAGTTATGTTCTTTCCAAAAAAGTTATGGGTAATGTTGACTATGAAAGTTTTTTCCTAAACCTATACTTTTAAAGGGAGTATGATATTTTTTATAAATTTTTAATTTTCTATTGGTTGTTAGTAATTTGTATATTCATTTTAGTGTCTATAGATTAGAAATTCTCATGGTGTTTTTTTGTAAATTATGAATTTTAAGGTTTTTTTAATACTTTTTTAAATTTATAGGTGTTTTCTACATATTGTAAGTTGTTTACAGACTGTTTATAATTCCTATGTTTTCAATTTACTAATGATTTTAAAATTTTCAGGTTGTTTTTTATAAAATTTGAATTTTGAATGTTTGTTTATAATTTTTAAAACTTTAAGAGTGTTGTTAATAAATTATTAATTATGTAGGGGACAAATTCCTATATTATTGTACTGTTAGGTTAGAAATTATCAGATTTTTTGTAAATTTTATAATTTTGAGGGTCTTATTTTACGATTTGTAAAAAGCTCATAGTGTTTATTACAAATTCCATAAATTTTTCGGGTTGTTTGTGTTATTTGTAGGTTTTTAGTGTGTTTATAGGTTTGAAAATTTTAAGGTTTTTTTACAAATTTTGAATTTTAAGGGTGTTTTTGTAATTTTTAAAATTTACAATATACTTTCTTCAAATTCAAAAAACTTTCGGTTCCTAGCTAACATATGTTTTTCAGATTTCTCATTGAATTGAAATAAGCAAAATTTGTAATTTTTAAGATGTTTTAATCAATTTTTAAATATATAGGGGTGTTTTTGTAATTTAAAAAACTTGAAGAATATTTTTACAAAGTCTAAAAAAATTTAGGTGCTGGTTAGTCTACATTTTTTAGATTTCTCAGTGAACTGAAATAAGTAAAGGATTCGAATTATATCAAACGTATCTCATTTATCCAATAACATGTTAAGTCTCATTATAAATATGATAAATCATCTAATTACGATTTCAAAGAAGATATGATAACTAGAATATATTAGGATAATAATATAATATTCAAAAAAAGTTAAGGGTAATATTGACCATGGAAAGTTTTTTCCTGAAATCATACTTTTAAAGAGAGTATGATATAAATAATGGTTAGTACATGTTTATACCTGAGCGAAATATTTGCATTTGTACGTGAGATATATGAATTTATGTTTTGTTCTTGTTTTAATCATTGGATTAATGAATTTCATGTTGATTTTGATGATGAAGAGATTGAACGTTAGCTTTCTAGACATGTCAAACATATTAATCAAGTCTCTTTTATCTATATTTTTGTGATATTATTTGGTTTTCTCACATTCACGTCATAACCACATACATATTCGTATACTTTATCTAATTTTTGATGTAAACGATATCCGAGTTGTATTTGAACCGTTTATTACCTAAATTGTATTTATATGGAGAGAAAATATATTTGTCACTACACGCTTATTACTGGCAAAAATGTGGGGTATTGTGGAGCAAGGGAAGGCGTGTTCAATTTTGCAAGAAAATCAGAATTATAACGAACTAAAAAAGTATTATTCTTTTATTATTATGACTGAACATTACAACCATCTTTTTGTGTAATTAAACCTGATTTACACTGCCAAATTAACCACTCATCTCCAAAATCATGTATTTACAAGGGCCAATTCGCAAAAAACAGCCGTCGTCGCTTTCCTTCATCAGCGAGAATCTCTTCGAATTTCTTCTCTCTGCGTCCCCAGATCCAATCAAAGCGAGCCAATGCACAACCGCCCTCGCATATCCCCTGCGGCGACGGCGGAGGACGCCGCCGCATCCGCCGCCAAAGCCGCTAAGCTCCGGGATCTACAGTCACAACTCCTCCACAATCACCAAAACAAACTGTAATCTATTTTATTTCGAGTTTTTTTTTGTCTCCAAGTTTCGATTTTGATGATTTGGGTTCTTCTAAAGGTACACGAAAGAGGCTGTAACTGTTAGCGCGAAGCTCTTGGAGGTGAACCCAGAGGTTTACACTGCTTGGAATTATAGGAAGCTCGCGTTCAAGCACAGTCTTGAGGGGGTTGGAGATGCTGAGATTGTTAAGTCTCTAGTTAACGAAGAACTTAAAATTGTAAGTTTTGTTGAAATTGTGAGGTACCCATTTGTTAATTTGATTGAGAAATGGCTTGTTTATAGGTAATTGGAGTGCCCGTGTGTTATATTGATCTATGGTTGTCTTTTTTTCTACATTTATTTACAATTGGATGCCAATTTGTTAAGTTAATTACCCAGTTTATTACTAGTATATGTTATTTAGATGAAGTTTCTAGGTCGTTATAAGTTTAAAGTTTAATTTTGAGTACCCACTTGTTGCTTTGAACCAAAGTTGTGTCATCAGATCGTATTAGAGTGGCCATTATAATCATCATCATCTAGCATAACCGTCCACATATATGATCTTACATACTCTTAATAGGAAAGGTTCTGTGGATGATTGAACTGTAACCGTGGGAAAACCGTGGATAAGAGTGGTTATGCTGTATACATCCAACCTTAGTAGATATTAGTCCTGCCAATGAGTGCACATTGCATTCAACGAGGACTATGATGCATAAGAAAGTAGCAAATACGAATAGTTAACATCAATAAGTTCACGGTAAAAGAGACAACTAAACAATCAGATCAATGTTTTCTACTTAATCAAGTCTCAATTTGAATTCCTCTATCAGGGGAACTTGAGTAATCAATTTCTATTTGATTTTGGAATTGCCCCTTTAGTTTGAAAGACAGACAGTAGGGTTATAAGCACTGGCGAAGGATGTGACAGCGTAGTTGTTTATTTGTTCTAAAAGGTTCCCAAGTTCTTTGACAAAAAAATCAACATTGAAATGGAATTCAAGTCCCGTGGATTCCAAATTTGGAGAATTTTATTGCCTCACATTATCTTGAATTTGGTTCAAATTGCCTATTCTGTTGAAAATTCTGGAGGTAAACTCATGGAATAATGAACACAGTTGTATATCAAGTTGTTAAACTCGATCAAAACGGCCTATATAATAGAAAGTGACTTCTCACGTAACAATCTGATTCGAAGTTTTCTGAATTGAAATTCTCAAGATTTTATGGGGCTAATACTAATATATATTCAGTGTGAAGCTCTACTTCCTATTTGTTAGATTGATCTAAATTTTCTTCTTTGTATTAAATATTCAAGGTAGAGGTTGCACTGAGACAGAACCCCAAATCTTATGGGGCATGGCACCACAGGAAGTGGGTATTGAATCAAGGGCTCACAGAGGTTGATTTTAAACATGAATATGACCTGCTGAATCAACTGCTAAAGAAGGACCCTCGGAATTTTCATGGATGGAATTATCGCAGGTGATGCCTCTACTTGTTTCCTTTTCTAATATATAGGAGCTGATTTACATATTGTCTAACCTTTCTCCAGTATCTTTGTTTCAGATTTGTTACGAAATTGAAAAATGTTCCAGAAGTAGAAGAGCTGAAGTTTACAAGGGCTATGATTGACATTAATTTTAGCAATTATTCTGCCTGGCATAATCGAAGGTGAATATATTTCACATGTATGGGATCATTTATTTATTAAAAGCTCGTTTTTTACTAGTTGGTTCTTTAACTTTAAATGAACATCTTTTACCCTTTTTTGACAAGAAGGATGTATATCAGGCAGATATTGAGTTTATTTGAATGAAGTGGCTAGTTTTATGGAAAAGAGAACTACTTTTGTAAGCTTAAACTCAGTAGCCTTGTAGATTTTACAGCAATGCCTTATATTGTCTATACTTTTCACTGGGATTTCAAATCAGCTGTTAGAGGTTAGATATTCAGCTGGTAGATAGTCAAAAGAATTTTATTGTTGCATTATCGACTACAAATTTTCGCTTCATACTTCAGCTCGTGCTGATAGAAAAGGCTTAGTGATTATAATGGTGACGACCAAAACAGCGACTTATGTTTGGACATTTAGTACATATACTGTTTGCATCAAGGTACTGACAAAAACTTAAAAACTATTATTTGATTCTAGGAAGCTTCAATAGGTTCAAATTTTAATCTATGATGTTTTAGGTTGTTATTTGAATACTTCAGTCACCAGCCACCACCATTAACATTCTGAATAGATCAAATCCAGCTTGCAGATTATGTCTACACCGTTCATAATCATTATCCACTTATGTATTGGGTCTTTATGTTTCCAATTTGGTGTTTATGTTTAAAAACTTATCTCATTTATATCAGAGATTGTAACATAAGTATTGCAACTTCTCTAACTGAGTATATCTTCAGTGCACTTTTCTCCCAATTGCTGAAACAGAAAGCTGAAGGATTTGAATCAAAGGAGAATATATTGACAGAGGAGTACAAACTTGTATGCAATGCTCTTTTCACAGACCCAAATGATCAAAGTGGATGGTTTTATCATCTCTGGCTCTTAGATCAGACAGTTACCCCAGAAGATCCTCTGCTTATTTCTTCATGGCCTTCACAAGGATCAGATTGCTTTTTGTCCACTGATTTGAGTAGTTTCGAATTTTCCAATTGCAACTATTCTCTTCATATGGGAGCTTTTCCTATTGTTCTTTATTTTAATCAAGCTGTCACTGGTGTGAGCTCATCGACTGTTACTGTAAATTCCATGTTTTTGAAGAATGAAAATCTTATCTGGAGTCCGCTCACAACTGCTAAATCAAGAGAAGCTCGATGTTGGCTGACGTACCTTAAAATTTCTGATGCAAAGTTTAGCGACTCAAATTCTGCTACTGTTGAAGTTAGCATTGGTCATTTGCGTGGCATTATATCATCGAGTGGCTCCCACTATCCTCATACTTCACAGTTCAAGTTCACGATCACGATGAAATCTATTGATAGAGGACAAAGTGAAGAATCGGTTGAGAAGTTGATTATGTGGAAGGATGATCAGAAAGAATTTGATTATGGAACTGCTAATGAAATGCTTCTTAACAAACTGAGCATTACCGAAGAGCGTGAACGAAAAGTGCCAAAATGGAATCTGGAGACTTTATCTAATGAGATTGAGCTTTTCAAGGAGTTGTCTGATGAAAATTGGTTAGTCTTCTCATTTGATTTTTTTTCTATATTGTTTCTTATTACAACTTTCTGTGCTTTTACAACCTTGACTTGTTTATTCCTGCAGTAAATTTGTGAACTTAACACTAGCACGGCTACTTACTGCTCAGGATGCAATGACATCACCTAAAAATCTTCCCAAGCAAAAAGGAAACCATTTTGTGGAGGTATTGAAACTCCTTGATGAGTTGATAAAGTTGGATCCATCTCATGCAGGATATTATGAAGATGAGCGGAGCTTAGTCATGATGAATCAGGTCTGTGTTTCATTATTTGTCTTCTTTCTTCAAGTGGACATAATCAGGTTTTTAAAACATTTTAGTGGTCTTCAGATGCTGCTTATGCTGCACGTTAGATGGATATTACTATTTATGTGTGTTCTGAAGGCATAATGTGCTCCTAGTTCAGTAATATTAATTAAGTTTTCTGCAGTTAAGACCTAAAAATAGTCATGTGCATTTCATTGACTAATATGCATTCTTCCTTACTTAAACCAAAATTAGAATAGCAATCTAGTGAATGTTGTTTGAACTTCCCTCAGTGTGGGATGTACTTCATATTATGCACCATTATTCCATTCTTTCTCATGATAAGGATTATTTATTACATGACAGTTCATTCTTAAAGTTTTTATATAATCTTAACTTAATTTATGTGCAGGCAACTTTTGATGAACAGTCTATCATGAAATATTATGTGCGATCTTCTGAGCTGACCTCTACCAGCCACCGTCTTGCTGGCATGAGACTCAGCAGACTATCATTGACGAGGATTGGATTTGTTGAGCGTTTGTTATGGATTCAAATGCTAGATCTTAGTCACAATGAGCTCCGATCAATCGCAGGTCATCGACGTTTCTTTTTATAATTTTCTTGAAACTTTATGCAGCTTTCTTTCCTAAAATCTATGACAAGGTTCCTTAGAATTTATCATATTCTAAGTCCTTTCACCTCATGATGAGTTATGACGCACATCTAAAGGGCTAAATGGAGCCGAATTCCCATAGCAACATTTCTTTATGTTTTATTTTGGGAAATAACATTTCGTTAAACTTGAATTGTAAAATATTTACTTCCCATTTTCTGGTTATTTTCTGTTAGATCACCCTTTTCATTTGCATATCAGATGAAATGTGGTTGTAAAGTTCATGCCTAATAATTTGCATAACTTGTATGTTCATATTGATCTAAAACATTCTACTTTTAATCCTCGAGTTGAATTTTCATTGCCTTTATTTTTATCACGAATGATTTCAGAGTCATCCAACATCGCTCTTGATTTCTATTTTTGTTGTGAAGTCCTTTGAGTGCTGGGTCTTTCATCTTGTAAACAGACAAGTAGAATGGCGACAGCTACGGTTTCTGCTAAAACTGAAATTACAAAATATAAATACTCAAATCATGTCGCACACATTTGTATCATTAATTGCAAAAAACGATGCATGAAACATGATGTTTTCTGTATGTTGATCGATACTATTTGCATACAAGAAACATCAACACACAAACATTCTAAAATGGTACAAATTTCAGTTATTTATTACATACGCCATATTAAGTAGTTTCCTTTAATTTTTAGACATGGATGCAACTTCAAGTTTGGAGTGCATTCGCCTTGTCCAGTAGTTCTTGGCTTATCAAATATTTGTTTAAATGCTTTTAATCTATATTCTGATAACTGCAAATTTACTGCAATTTACAGGTTTAGAGGCATTGCAGCATCTAGTCTGCTTAAACCTCAGCAACAACAAAATCAGTAGCTTCACTTCCTTGGAACCTCTGAAGCTGATGAAATATTTGAAAGTACTAAACATCTCGTCTAACGAGATTGGGTCTCACCCTATCGACACGTCAAAATACTTTTGCTCGTCTCCATTATCACATACCTATGAGGCTGAAAATATTACGAAAGCTTTCAAGAAGGGAAATATCAACGTGGGTGATTATTGGGAGGCTATACTATTGTTTCAGGAGATGAATCTGATACAACTAGATATCTCTGAGAATAAAGTTGCTGATGAGGCTTTTGGAGATTTATTGTTGGAGGTGCTTCCGACGCTAAAATGGCTTGATGGGAAATGTGTAAGATGATATAGATGATGAGTGTAAAAAGACTCTGGAGATTGTTTTGTGATGGTCTGTAGCTTGTTTTTATGTTGTGTTAACTTATAGGTGTAACTTCATTATATTTATATCAAAACTAAAATTGGTCCAATTTTAAATGTTTTTTATTTTCTCTTTATCTTCGAGATATTTCATTGTGTCTTGGGTATTTTTTTTCCTCCAGGAAGTGTCCTGGGTTGAATGTGAAATGTTTTGGATTGTTCGTCGAGTTGCAAGTTGCAATGGTAATTTGCAGAAGGTAGTTCCTGTTTGTTTCTTGTAATCCTTTTCCAAGTATAGTCAAATAATTTGTCAATCATTCTTTTAGAAAGATACAGTCGATTTGGTCTATTGTATTTTAATCTCGATAAAGAAAAATGAGACAATGCTGACTAAATCATCTGATATACAATGATTTATGATCATGATCCTCATCATCTTGGGAGGGCAATCTAAATCCTCTCCAAGTTTTCTTTTCTATTTATATAATTATGAAAGTTTTAGTAATAGAAGGTGTCAATTGTTAAAATCTTTTAATTTTTGTTTTTTATCCTTGTGCAGATTAGATAGTCTAAAAAATTCTTGTTTTATTGGACTGTCACAATTTATACATGCATTTGTGCTTTGAAACTAGGTGATCAAGTTTTATAGTTTGCCACTTTCATACAGTTGGTAAAACTTGAAAAATATGATAATTCTTCTCTCATTAATTATAACGATGCATTTCTTTGTAAAGAAAGAAAATTCATTTCTTTGTAAATAATTAAAAAAATCCAAAATTGGCGGGACCCACAAAATACTGCAACAGGACTAGTGCCACGTCACCACGTCCCTCTCTCTCATTCCTCTTCCCCCGTCTGCGCTATTTCGCCGTACGTAACGGTTCCTATAAAAATCTCCAAAAACCCAGAATCTCTCTAAACTTTTCTTTAAGGAAAAAATAAAATAAAACAAGAAAAAAGAAGAAAAAAATCGAAGAAAATGTCAGATAATCCTCCTCTATTTGGATCGCAACAAGCCTCCCCTCACGGGAGAGAAGGGCAGATGGCTTCGCTGGAGCAGCTGGTTCTCGATTTGTGCGATCGTGATCTCAGAGAAAACGCCCTTCTCGAACTCTTGAAGGTCGCTCCTTTCCTCTTATTTTCTATCCAAAACGGGATTTTTTTGGTCTTATCTTTAACTATTGGCTAAATTTTTAGACATATGCTAGAAAATTTTGTTTGAATGGTGGTTTGTGAGGCTCGAGTGCCTCGGTTGATTCTTCTGCTTGTGTTCTTGGGCATGAGAAGCCTGTAACAAGCTCACACAGTATACACGAGGAGAAATTTTGGGGAAATAGAAGAAGAAGAATAGGAAGAAAGAATTAGAGAGGAAATTGTCAGGAGTGAATTTGAGGGAGAGAACAGAATTCTTATTTTTTCCCCTCAATGTCCAATCTTACAACTTCTCCTTTTATACTACATACATTTCTCTCCTCAAAAGCCAAGAAAGAAACAGACAGTGTTTGTGCACGTGCACAAACATAACAAGAAAAACAGAATTCAAGAAACAGTTAGAAAACAGTTGAGCTGACACTAATACTTGCTAATAGCTCCTCCAATCTTCTGAGGACTTGCATTAAAGACCTTCACTTGTGCATTTAAAACCTTCACTTGTATATCCTCTGTGTATCAGTCCATATCAGCTACTATGTAGATATTTGCCAGGTTCAGGTATGTTGATATTGCCAGCACCACATCCTAGTTAAATTGGGTTCCTAACAATTCCCCCCTCTTAACTTTGACCTTGTGTCAAGGTCAAAAGCAGGAAACCCAAATCCCAATAAGATTCCCAAGTAGCATCTAAGTGTGTGCGTTGCTTCCATTTGACTAGAACCTGAGATATCAAATGATTCCCCCTGATGATTGACCTCCTGTCTAAAATTGCCGCTGGTTCATCAACTATTTCTTCCACATAAGAAGAATAATCATCCTGAAGAACAATGTTAGAACCAATCTTTTGTTTCAACTGGGAAACATGAAAAACATGATGGATTTTAGCTTGAGCTGGAAGGTCAATTTTGTAAGCAACATCTCCTATTCTCTCCAAAACCTGATAAGGTCCATAGAACATAGGAGAGAGTTCATGAGGGTTATGTGAGGAAGCACTGATTTGCCTATAAGGTTGAAGTTTGAGAAGCACCCAATCTCCAACATTGAAACTCCTATAGCTTCTGTGCAAATCAGCAGACTTCTTCATTTGTTCAGCTGCCCTCTTAAGGCTATCCTTCAGAAATTGTAAGGTGATGTCTCTAGAAAAAAGAGCTTCATCAACTGCATGTACCTTACAACTCTTGGGAATGTAGGAGAGCAAAGAGGGAGGAGGCTGTTGGGAAATTACCCAGATTCCCCTATTGCCAGATTTAAGAGAGCGAAATAAATGCGCAAAAATGAGGGACACGCAAGATTTACGTGGTTCGGCACAAAATTGCCTACGTCCATGGGCTGCTGCAGATCTTTCACTAATGAAAGAAATATTACAAGCACTCTGAAAATTGCTCTCAATTTTCTCTCTTGAATTTTTCACTCACAGAGTTCTCTCACCCTCTTAGCCTCTCTATATTTTCTCTCTGCCTTGGATTTCTTTGCAGTTGAAGGATAATTTGTATCTGAGCATTGGGGTGCTTTATATAGAGAACATCACCTCTGTCTTTGATTGGCTTGGTAAGCTTTTTCAACAAAAGCTTTCTTCTTTTTCAACAAAAGAAGCACCGCCACCATTTTTTTTTCTTCCTGCCATTTGACTATGGCATACTCCTTTCTCTTTCAAGAAAAAAAAACGTGGCTACTGAAAGTCTTCCCTTTTTAATCATCAAAAGTCCTCCTTTCCTTTTTTACTAACAATCTCCCACTTGAAGACTGATTTCAATCTGTCTTCACATCTCGATCTGTGCAGCAGCTCTTTCCCAATCTTGTTATTATTGCAGACCAACTGAAGCTGAACACAGCTTCAGTTTGTCAATAGTCACCGTCTTTGTCAGCATGTCTGCCGGATTTTGAGCTCCACTGATCTTTTCAAGCTTCAAAATTCCATCTTCTAGAAGTGACCGGATAAAATGATACCGCGTCTGTATGTGCTTCGTTCTGGAATGAAAAGACGGATTCTTCGCTAGATGAATAGCACTTTGACTGTCGCAGTATAAGATATTGTCTTCTTGTTTCATGCCTAATTCATCCAAGAAATTTTGAAGCAACACCATTTCCTTGCTGGCTTCTGTAACAGCGACATATTCTGCTTCAGTTGTGGAGAGAGCAACTATCTTCTGCAGTTGAGAAGCCCTACTCACTGCAGTACCTCCTAGAGTATATACATACCCTGTAGTGCTCTTTCTGATATCAACATTTCCTGCTAGATCAACATCTACATAGCCTGTTAGTATTGTATCTTCACTTTTGAAACAAAGTGCTTTACCTGTAGTGCCTCGTAGATATCTGAGGATCCATTTGACTGCTTCCCAATGTACCTTGCCTGGATCATTCATGTACCTGCTAACAGCTCCTACTGCTTGAGCAATATCCGGTCTTGTACAGACCATGGCATACATCAGACTTCCAATTGCTGAGGCGTATGAGACCTTCGCCATGTGTGCACGCTCTTTCTCTGTCTTCGGTGACTGATCTTTGGAAAGTCTGAAATGAACACCTAAAGATGTACCCACTGGTTTTGCATCTTGCATGTTGAACCTGGAGAGTACTTTGTTGATGTACTCAGCCTGTGATAACATCAAAGTCCCAGACTTTGTGTCTCTCTTGATCCTCATTCCAAGAATCTGTTTTGCAGCACCAAGATCTTTCATCGCGAACTGCTTTGACAATTTCTGCTTCAAATTTATAATCTCTTGCAGATCTGATCCTGTAACGAGCATGTCATCAACATATAATAATAAAATAATGAAGCTATTGTCAAACCTCTTGAGATAGCAACAATGATCTGCTTGACATCTAGTGAAACCGTTGCTGCCCATGAAGTTGTCAAATTTTTTGTACCACTGTCTGGGAGCTTGTTTTAATCCATACAAGCTTTTCTTCAAACGGCATACTAGATTTTCCTTGCCTGTCTTTATGAAGCCTTCTGGTTGCTTCATATAAATCTCCTCCTCCAAATCACCATGAAGGAAAGCTGTTTTTACATCTAATTGCTCAAGATGTAAATTTTCAGCAACTACAATTTTCAACACCAGTCTGATTGTAGTCAGTTTCACGACTGGGGAGAAAATTTTATTATAGTCAATACCTTCCTTTTGCTGAAAGCCTTTGACAACCAACCTTGCCTTGTAGCGCTTGTTTCCATCATGTTCTTCTTTGATCCTGTAAATCCATTTGTTATGAAGAGCTTTTTTACCTTGTGGTAATTCAGCTAAGTCCCATGTCTGATTTGACATGAGCGAGTCCATCTCATCTTGCATAGCAGACTCCCACTTGACTGAATCCTCCACCTGCATTGCTTCGTCATAACACTCCGGTTCACCACTATCAGTCAGCAACAGATAGTGCAAAGAAGACGAATAACGCTGAGTTGGCTTAGGAATTCTGGATGAGCATCTCACTTTTGGCGTGCTTGGTTCTTCTTGAACTGCTTCAGGGCTAGTCTGAACATCCTTCTCAGAAATCTCCTCAAATTCAGCAAATTTCTTTGTTTCAGCTTTTGTACTGGAGCTACTTGATTCTGCAGTTGATCTGTCTTTGTACATCATATTCTTATTGAATATGACATCTCTGCTTCTGATGATCTTCCGATTTTCATAGTCCCAAAATCGGTAACCAAACTCATCACCACCATAACCAACAAAAATACATTTGTTAGATTTGGCATCAAGTTTACTTCTTTCAGCAGAATCTATGTGTACATAAGAGATACAACCAAAAATTCTTAAATGTGAAAGGTTTACCTCTTTTCTGCTCCAAGCTTCTTCCGGTATTCCACCATCCAAGGGAACTGAGGGACCACGATTGATTAGATAGGCTGCGGTATTGATAGCTTCAGCCCATAGGAACTTGGGCAAGCCGGCATGTTTCCTCATGCTTCTGGCACGTTCGTTCAAAGTTCTGTTCATGCGCTCCGCTACGCCATTCTGCTGCGGTGTCATGGGAACTGTTTTCTCCATCTTGATCCCGCTGTTTGCGCAAAACTCTTTGAATCTACTGTCTTTGTACTCTCCTCCATTGTCTGACCTCAACCTCTTTATCTTTAAACCAGTTTCATTTTCCATCATGGCCTTTCATTTTCTGAAGGTATCAAAGACTTCTGATTTCTTCTTCAGAAAATAAACCCACACCTTCCTTGTAGATTCATCAATGAATGTGACATAGTACAGTGAGCCTGCAAGAGATGAAATTGGAGATGGTCCCCATACGTTGGTATGAATCAATTCTAATCTTTCTGTCTTGGGTGTCTTGCCAATCTTTGCAAAACTGACTTTCTTCTGCTTGCCAAAGATGCAATCCTCGCATAGGCCGACATCTATATTCTTCAGATTCGGTAGCTTCCCTTTTGACAGAAGTGTCTTCATCCCTTTCTCGCTCATATGGCCAAGCCTTTGGTGCCATAGGTTTGATTTTTCATCTGTATCTGTTACTGCAATGATATTCTCTAAGTTAGAGGTTATATAGAGAGTACCACTTTTCTTACCTCGAGCAATGACGAGTGCTCCTTTGGTAATCTTCCATTCATGACCCGAGAAGGTTGTACAATAACCCTCTCCATCAAGCTGTCCCACAGAGATCAAATTTCTTCTAAGACCAGGAATATGTCTCACTCCTTGCAGCTTCCATGTGGTCTGATTTGGTAATTTTAATCGGATGTCTCCCTTGCCAACAATCTTCAAGGTTTCATCATCTGCTAGATGTACCTTTCCGAAATCACCGCTGATGTAGTTCTCCATGATTTCTCGGCATGGAGTGGAATGAAAAGATGCCCCTGAATCAAGAATCCATGATTCAATCGGACTGTTGACGCTTAGAATCATAGCATCACCTCCTTCCTCGGTCACGTTGGCAGACTCCTGTGCGCCGGTGTTTTTCTTCGGTGCCCGACACTCTCTCTTGAAATGACCCTTTTTGCCACAGTTGTAGCACTTAAAGTCTTTCTTTCCTGATCTAGATTTGCTCATTCTAGATTTTGATCTGCCATGATTTAAACTTCTTTCTGAAGTTCTTCCCCTAGACTCCGTGTGTAAAGTTGAGGAGGTTGAGGCTTCACCTGATTCTCTCCGTCGAATTTCTTCACTAAGAATCGGATCACGAACGTCATCGAACTTCAACTTGTTGCTTCCCGATGAGCTACTCACAGCCGTGACTGTAGCGTTCCAGCTTTCTGGTAGAGAGGAAAGAAGTATCAATGCTCGTACTTCTTCATCAAATTCAATCCCAACTGAACTCAACTGGGTTGTGACTATGTTGAGTTCATTGAGATGTTGAGCTGTCGATGCGCCTTCCGTCATTCGCAAATTGAACAGTCGCCTCATCAAGTGGACTTTGTTTGAGGCAGAGGGCTTCTCGTACATGCTGCAGAGAGCCACCATAAGACCCGCCGTGGTCTTTTTCTTTGCTATGTTGAAGGCAACGTTGCGGGATAGCGTCAATCGGATAATTCCAAGGGCTTGTCTGTCGAGGAGAGCACATTTTTCATCCTTCATATCATCTGGCTTCTTTCCCGAGAGAGGTTGATACAGCTTCTTTTGGTACAAATAATCTTCAATCTGTATTTTCCAAAAGCCAAAGTCCGCACCATCGAACTTCTCAATTTTTACCTTTCCTTCATCTGCAGCCATCGCTCCCACTCGAACCTGACTTCCTCTGGATCTTTTCTGATAATTTCTGCGAACCATCGTGTATTAAGACACCTCTGCCGACAAGTCAGTACCCCCGGCAAAATTCCACTATTCACGAAATTTACTATTCACGTGAATAGTAACCTTGCAGAAATTTGACAGACGTCACAACCAGAGCTCTGATACCAGTTGTTGGAAAATTACCCAGATTTTCCTATTGCCAGATTTAAGAGAGCGAAATAAATGCGCAAAAATGAGGGACACGCAAGATTTATGTGGTTCGGCACAAAATTACCTACGTCCACGGGCTGCTGCAGATCTTTTACTAATGGAAGAAATATTACAAGCACTCTGAAAATTGCTCTCAATTTTCTCTCTTGAATTTTTCACTCACAGAGTTCTCTCACCCTCTTAGCCTCTCTATATTTTCTCTCTGTCTTGGATTTCTTTGCAGTTGAAGGATAATTTGTATCTGAGCATTGGGGTGCTTTATATAGAGAACATCACCTCTGTCTTTGATTGGCTTGGTAAGCTTTTTCAACAAAAGCTTTCTTCTTTTTCAACAAAAGAAGCACCGCCACCATTTTTTTTTGCCATTTGACTATGGCATACTCCTTTCTCTTTCAAGAAAAAAAACGTGGCTACTGAAAGTCCTCCCTTTTTAATCATCAAAAGTCCTCCTTTCCTTTTTGACTAACAGAGGCCTGCCATATACTGCTTCAAAAGGAGTAGTTTGTGTAGACACTCTCCAAGTGGTATTATACCAAAATTCTGCCAAAGGAAGCCACTGACACCACTCCTTAGGTTTATGACAACAAAAACATCTCAAATAGGCCTCTAAATTTTTATTTATAATTTTAGTCTGCCCATCAGTTTGAGGATGGTAGGCAGAGCTAAACTTAACTTGGCTTCCTTGCAATTTGATCAACTCCCTCCAAAACAAACTGGTGAATAGTGGATCTTTATCACTCACTATGGACTTAGGCATACCATGAAGCTTGAAGACACCCTCAAAAAATACCTGAGTGAGCAGTATATGGGTGGGAAAGTGCAAAGAAGTGTGCATATTTTGTCAATCTATCCACCACCACCAAGATGGCTGACTTGATTCCACTCTTAGGCAAGCTAGTAATAAAATCCATTGATAAGTCTTCCCATATGGAATCAGGTATAGGTAAAGGCTGTAGGAGTCCAGGAGAAGCAACATTCTCCCCTTTTGCTTTTTGGCAAACATCACATGCTTGTACAAAAGTTTGGACATCCTTCCTCATGTCTTTCCAGTAGAAAGCCCTCCTGAGCATGTGTAGTGTTCTAGTAATGCCAGAATGCCCTGCAGTAGGACTAGCATGATGCTCCTCAAGTGGAGAGGCTTTAAGCTGATGATATGCAGGACTAATTAAGATTTTGCCTTTATAATAGAATATCCCATCCTTCTTGCAGAAATCTTCAACTGGTGCATGTCCTTGCTGTAACTTGTCATCAAGTTCTTTGAAGAAGGAATCTGTAGAACACGAGCTTGACTTCATCTAACCAATCATTTTGGACAACAGATATTGCTAAGACTTCTATGGTCTCATTGATAGTTTCCTCTTCATCCTCTTGAACTCTTGAAAGGCCATCAGCTGTCCTATTTAGCCTGCCAGGTTTGTATTCAACAATGTAGTCATACCCATGTAACTTGGCAAGCCATTTGTTTTGGATGCCTGTGTGAATCCTTTGTTCTAGCAAATACTTAAGGCTCTGGTGATCAGTTCTAATCACAAACTTCCTGCCAAGTAGATATTGTTGCCATTTTTTGTAGAAAGTGTAATGGCTAACAATTCTTTTTCATAAGTAGAGAGTGTGGTATTCCTTCCCTTCAAGGCAAAGCTGAAATAGGCTATATGCCTGTCATTTTGCATCAACACAGCTCCAATTCTTGTACCAGAGGCATCACATTCTATCACAAAAATTAGATTGAAGTCTGGCATAGCAAGGACTGGTGGTTAGTTAATGCTAGCTTCAATGAATTGAAAGACTCTTCAGCACCATCATTCCAGATAAAAGCCCCTTTCTTCAAATGTTGTGTCAGAGGTTAAGCTATCACTCCAAACCCTTTGATGAATTTCCTGTAATACCCAGCTAGGCCTAAGAAGCCTCTTAATCCCTTCAGTGTTTTTGGCAATGACCATTCAACAATTGCACTAATTTTGTTAGGGTCCACACCTACACCCTCCTGTGATACCACATGTCCAAGATACTCCACTTGTTTTTGGCCAAAACTGCACTTTGACAAGTTAGTCACCAGCTGATGCTCCTTCATGATTTGAAACACTTGTCTCAAATGAGTCAAGTGATCCTGCCATTGTTTGGTTCAAAAGTCGCTGCTGTGGAATTCATTATAACTTTGTTCGATTACAACAAATTCAAAAGGAATAATCTTTTTATAAGACTTTTCTGACACAAGAAACAACAAAAATTACAAACTCTGAGAACAAACACGAAAATCCGTCTATCATTCTCATTTTCGGTGGACTTTGCCTGTCCGGGAACGTCTTGGTTGCGTCGGACCGCCGATTCACAGATCGTGAAGAGGCGGGCTTTAGATTCTATACTTCGTTATCGAGTAGAAATTGAAAACGATATCTTATCGAAGTGAAGATAGTCGTTCTCTTAAAAAAAATCAAGTCGAAGCTTAATTTCAAGGCGTTGGGGCAAAGAAAACGACTCAATCTTGCTCTCCGTCTGCTGGCTCTGGAATGCTCTAACAAATGCTCGATCCGTCAGAAGTGACCTCAGGGGGGTATTTAATGCCTCCAAGGGTCTTAACTGCAAAACTTAACAATCGCGAGAATCATACGGCGAGACAGGTGTTTACCTGCTCGCTGGGCAGACAGGAAAGCGTTTGCTGTTCGACTCTGTCCGCGAGACAGTAAATTTGCTGTCTCGCTCAGCGAGACAGTAAATGCTGCTCTCGGAAAATGGCAGTTTCTCGCTGTAACTGTTCTTCCACGTTCAAACCCGGTTTTTTGGGGTTATCCCGTGATTTTCGTCATGGTGTTTCCACTCCCATTGCAGTTAATGGACGACGTGTAGGGCAGTTAAAATGTAGTTGTTGACTATTTCAACACTGTCTCGGCTGGCGGAGACAAGCAAAGACATGTCTCGCTGGCGGAAGCAAGACTGTCATTCGCTGGCGAGACAGGCAAAGACTGTTTTTTGATTTTTCCAAACAGTATGAAATCCCTTTCTAGGGAATTTTTGAGTGATACTTCTCGTATGCTTGGGATATCTTTAGCTTTTTGGACGCCTACACCCAGATACCTCCAAAGTATTCCAACTCATTCTGCATTCTTTATAGAGGAGCATGTGATACTTTGATAAGATAGATTTTCCTACGATCGCCTTCAATGCTTGGCTGAATAGATCGTATGAAGGATTTGGTAATGGGTTTCATGTTTAAACCTCTTACTGGCTGTAGTCTATCTCAGTTCTTCGTAGAAAGCTAAACGTTCCGCGCGTCGCGTTTATCGCTTGATCGTTGTCGGATCTTGAATTGAAGTGATACTTTGCTTCTTGTGAATTCAGCGTTTACAGCATTGAAATTGGTATATCCATTGAGAAATTCCCCAGGTTATCTTAAGAATATTCAGATCTAATATTCTCCAGAAACTCCTGTTGAGGGTGGCATACAGTTTAGACTCGTGTACCCATTGAGATTCCACTGTTCCATAGTGCAAACAAAAGTTTACTGTCTCGCTCGCGAGACAGAGTTTTCTGTCTCGCTCAGGGCGAGACAGTGTTCTCTGTTCGCGCCGGCGAGGACAGTGTTCTGCTGTCTCGCTCGGCGACGACCGAGAGTTCTCTGTTCTCGGCTCAGCGGGCGAGACAAGAGTTCCTGTCTCGCCCGGCTGCTATAATAAGTCGCGACTTAGGGTTTAGGGTTTTTTTCACGTCGATTTTCTGGCGATTTTCAAGGCGATTCTCTTGGCGCGATTTTCGAGCCGAGTTTTCGACAGTTCTTCACCTCTTCTTCTTCTCTCGTTTCTGACTTGGGGGTGCTTCGATTTGAAGACGATTTGCATATTGGATTGAAAGTCTGTTTCCCTCTTGTCTTCAAAATCTTGATTTCGGCAACTTGTGAGTGGCGCATTATTCTCTGGAGATAACCAACCTAACTTTCCATCGGCTTTCACTGTAGATCGCATATTCATTATGTCGCCGCGTAGAGCTCGAGGAAAGGGAATCCGACCGACTGTTCAGAGCTCCGAGGAGGCTGCGCCTGCTGCACCCTCACGTGGGGGTATACCTTTTTCATCCTTTTACGAGTTTAAATACTGTATTTCGTAAATTCCATATATATATGCACTTGTATTTGCTTGCAGATCCTCGTTTGTATCCTTTGAGGTACCTTCGAGAAGAGCCGGTATCCTCCTTTGAGGGGATCGACGCTTAAAAGTGTTTGTTTTGCTTGGACAAAACGCACTTCATAATACACAGGGGCGATTTTACATCATCCCATATGTATTGAAAGGTTTTGGTATGCCGTTATAATGCCCGCATACCTCCTTTATACATATGGTGGATAGAAAATCGTCACACCTGTTATGAGATAACGACTATATCTTATAGAATGAGATATACCGTTTTTCTCTAAAATTCTAGGATGACACTTACACCATTTATGTGTATGCCTCTTTTATCAGTCCGATTTCCTTCTACCACATTCACCGCTGATGTGATTACTGGCCGGAGTAGCGTGACCCACTCTTATTACGAGGGGATCCCGTTAATTGAATTCTCTCCCCAGTTTAAATCTGATTATAACGGAAGTGATAGTGAATTAATCCAGCGAGGTAGTTGTCGTGTTCTACGACGATTAATCACAGATGCGCCCTTGATCTCGGAGCAAGACTCGAATCAATGCATAAGGAAGCCAGATTTCTTATTTGGTGACTCGGTAAAAGATCCGAAGATTGCTTTCTGCCAGCCTGCGCAATGGTTGCACCAGAGTGGATCATCATTCTTATATCTGCCTTTTATCCCTCGGGATCATTCACTGTTAATGTTCAGGAACCTATCAGTTGGACGAGAGATGTTCTGGAAATTAACCGAAAACCACGAGCACATTCATTGTGGTTTCATTGGAAAGGAAGCAACTCCAGGTTCCAGTGAAAGAGCTCATGTGAGAGGACTTCATCCGGGTGTCTTAGGACAAGACAATATTCCTCAGAACGAAAAGATAGTGCAAGCCAACACTGTGAAGAACCGGTTAGCGGCAGCAGGAAAAAGATTGCCCAGAGAGACTTTCAGGTGTTATGGATGGGTCCATTATTCTGGGAACAAGTGGTGGTGGACCAGGATGACCCAATATGTGTTGAAACGTTTTGGGCGAGAATTAGCAGGATTAGGGTTGGATGTCCCGATTCGTGCCACCATGCATGGCTTGCAGAGCAGTGTAAGTCATTTCCTTTGTTTGTTCGAGATCTACAACCCGGACACCAATACATTCTTTACCAAGAACGGGGAACTTGGACTACCACTGCATGAAATGATGCAAGTGTCTGCTTTGCCTATGGGCGATGTCCCATATCAAGAGTTCTTTCCGACCACCAATCAGCTGATTAAGATGAAAGATAGCTCGACTGCGACCTATGACACTCTATGGGAATTGACCTGTCATTATCATATAGCCATGGCCGAGATGGAGCCCAAAGCCAGAAAGAAGTCTCCTCAAGTCAGTTTAAAACAATTCGCTGATTATCTCTTCAAGAACCTGGATGTCCGTTCGGCAGATGTGTGCGGATTGTCTCCCTTGAGTACGGATGAAATTAACCGTTTGTTAGAGAAAACCAACGCGCATTCTTATACTTCGCGCTCAGAAGATGGATTTTTGCACGGCACTAAGTTCCGCTCTTATCTGTGGCAAGCTGGTGTTCCGATTAGCCCTACTGCTCTGCTGGCGGGTTTTCTAGCCTTATGGTTAAAGAGATGTGTAGTTCCCCATCAATCCGCAGATGCGATGCCAATGGAAGTGTTGTATCCGGCCGTCCAGCTGGCTACAGGTCGCAAATTATCTTTGCTTCCCGCTATGGTGGCCGATATTCATAGTGGATTGCGGCAACTAATCTCCGCATTTACCCAGGAGAAAAAGAAACCTTCCGCCAGCCTGTCCGTTCCGAAGCTGGAGCTGCCCTATACTTACTTAATGGCCTGGTTGGTACTTCATCGACCAGATTTAATGGAGGCTCCTGATACGGTAGATCTCAGTGTCCCTCTGTTGCAAAATCTCGAGAATTGCAAATGGAGCAAACATCGAGAGCCGGACATAACGAGGCAGTTTAAAATTCACAAATGTTGGGAATTTTTTCCTTGCTTCCCTCAGTTCTCCGGTACTTACAACACTACCTTAGTGGATGCTGAAGACCCAAGGCAGAATCGTACCATCTTGGATGTCGGGTGCTTCAGATGGTTGATGAATATTCGACCTGGATATCTGTTGTTCAGGATAAGGGATGTTTGCCACATCGAACCCTATCTTCCATGTCGATTCGCCCGTCAGTTCGGGTATGATCAGATATACATCGGCAACCCGAATCGTCACCTCAGCTTTCGAGGTGGACTTATCGACGGGGCGAGAGCTTGGTTTTGGAGCATTGCCGGCTGCACCAATGTTGAATTTGATCTCCCCTTAGAGACGCCGCCTCTACGGATGACTTTCCTCTTTTGTAAATGGCTGATAGCCACCAATATTGTCACTCGACGTAGGAGGATATCAGACTCAGAGGAAGAAATAGCTCCACGGCAAGCAGCAGAACTGCCTCGCGAAGCTGTGATGTCGCCTCGAGGAAAAGAGGCTGCTGAATCATCAAGGAAAGGAAAGGAACCGGCTCGCTCAGTCGGTAGTGAAGAAGAATTTGACTCTGAGGAGACGGAGACTTCCGAGGAGGCGGGTGAGACTAGCTCAAGTTCTGATGAAAGAGCGGGTCTTTCTGATTCTTTCTTTGAAAGAGGACTTGTGTGCCCATCTGTTGCTCCTACTCAATCACAAGCTACTTCGAGAAAACGGGGAGAGAGGGTCGTCATGACCTATCCTAATCGGATGACGGTAGACATTCTCAGTGGGGACGAAGAGGATGAAGAGGATGAAGTGCCTCTTGCTCGTCGACAAAGATCACGACCTCCCACTCAAGCTCAAACCCAAATTCCTCCTCGAACTGAATTACGCACCAAACGTCGTCACGAAGGTCCTGAAGCACATCCACCGAAGAAACAAAAGAAAGCTGCTTCTAAACCGCGCGTTCATCTTTCTGCCGTAGAAGATATCTCTGGTCGTAATGTTTCTTCTGATGAACTAGGTAATTATTTATTTTTATCTCTCTTACATTTTTTTTTAATGCTCGAACTCATTTCATTTCCAATTTCTGTAGAGAGTCAAGAAGAGGGAGAATATCGAGTTGGAGCTGCTTCTCCTGGAGGTATGGAGACTGAGGAGACCAGCTTCGTCCAGCAAATGCAAGATGTTCTGAAAGAAGGACCAGCTGACGTTCCACCCACTCCTGACGTTGATCCATCAGCTGCGGACACAGGTACTGATCTTTCTCCTCTCGGAAGAGAAATCCGAGAAATGAATGAGTCGGACCGTGTGCCTCCTCTAATGACCTGTGCGCTTTCTCTCCTTTTAGTCAAATTAAAAGAAGCAGGTACCAGTAGTGGAGCTCTCGAATCAGCCCCGACCAACGAAGGTAAAATTAATTGTCTTTTTGAGCAAATTCGTCTAAATTTATGTGTCATTTACGACTCAACACATTTTGTAGATGTCACAATGCACGAATCTGTTGGAGGAGAGACCACGCATACAACAGAGGTCGAGGAATTCAATGAACATCACCTCGATTTCAATCTCTCTGAAGGCGACCATGAGTATATCTCCGACTTACTATCGGGGAAAACTCCTGGTGCAGCCACGGAATCCAACGTTGGAGTCGGTCCAACAGAAGCAGGTCCTTCTGAAAGTAAGACCTTTATTCTGTAAACTCCATATATGCATACATATATATTTTAACTTGATTAACCATATAAGTATTTGAATTATAGGACCAGTTGCTGGAACTGATACTACTATAATCATTGGTACGTCTGATCGACTGGAGAGTAGTGAACTTGTGCCGTGGACAAGAACCGAAGTTGATTTGCAATCATCAGTTCTTGAACCTCAACCTTCTACTCCTATGGACCCCATGATGATAGAAGTCACTGTCACTCCCCAGATTAGTCCAGTTGCAACAAAAGCGAGACCAACTGAAGAAGTTGGTACATCGGCCGATGTTGTGACTAGAATTGGTGAGTTTCATTTATCGTTTGTTTCAAGCTCGGATTATCATTATGCTCATTGTAATCCTCCTGTTTGTAGAATCTCCTCTTAAAGAGTCTCTTAGTTTGGACCCGCCGTCCTCTGAGACTTTAGTTGAAAAAGTCCCTGATGTAGCGGGTGCATCAACAGCTACCATTCCTGAACCAATCTTGACTGTTCAGGAATCCAGATTATCATCCTTGAGCGAACCAAGTCATGCTGAAGGTTCTTCCGTCGAATTTGGTATGCTTTAGTTTGTTGTCTTGTATGCATATATATATACTGTACTGACTTATTTGACTTTCTCGCAGTTCCTTCATCATTATCAACTCAAATCCAAGCGTTATTGGTTGATGACGATCCGGACAAGTCTGTTATCTGCTCTAATCTCCAAGGCTTCATCTCCTTTTTGAACTCTATGGTCGATCGCATTCTCTTCAAAAGATCGTATTTTGAGAATTATAAAAAATCTTTTGAGCGTTTTATATCAGGGTTCAGAGAGGAAGGGTATAACGACTTAGCCGATTCAGTCACCGCTTATTTGGTTGATTTGAGGCAACATATTGAACTTCTGCAAACTCTTCGCACCAAAGGCGTACCTTTTTACATCGCTTCTCATATGGAATCCAGGCTGCAAGCGTGGCGTAATTCTCAAGAATCTGCCAACTCTGAACTCCAACAATTAAGAGCCCATAGTCACCAGCTTAGGGTGAATATTGGCAAAAGGACACAAGCCAAGGTCAACCTACGCCGAGATATAAAATCGAGTCGAGCGGAAATAGCTCGCTTAGAGGAGGAACTTGCAATGGCCAAGGATGCTCTTGATGTCTTGGAGTCTGAGTTGACGCAGGAAATTCATGTTGAGGAAGACCTGTTACAGCAACTGAACTTTCAAGATAAAATAATTGCTGAGAAGGAACAAGAGGTCGCCGCGCTTCAAAGTGTTGATG